AAGGGAAACTTGGTCTATTATTAATGAATTGAGAGGCAAAAGTACCCATAAATCATGCAATGCAAATATAAATCCTAACGATTTCAATACATTTTATTGCAATATCGCTGAAAATCTAACAAAAAATCTAAATAGAACAACTGACCCATTAGAATTTGTAAAATCGTCACCAATTAAATATTCATTTTTCTTAAGAGAAACAAATTCCTCAGAAATATTAAAAGTTTGTAATGACATACACAACAAAACTGCATCAGGACATGATGGAATGTCAGTAAAAATATTTCAAAACTTACCTACCTCTGCATTAGACGTTTTATTCATTTTAATAAATAAAAGTTTTATTGAAGGTACTTTTCCTCCTTTTCTTAAAACAAGTGTTGTGGTTCCATTATATAAGGGAGGAGACTTGACTGAGCCATCTAATTTTAGGCCCATATCTCTAACTCCGACACTCGGAAAAATTATTGAGAAACTTGTAAAAACTCGACTAGTTAGATATCTAGACCAAAATAATATATTGGACATAAATCAATTCGGTTTTCAACACAATAAAAACGTATCGGACGCTGTTTCTTCTTGTTTGGAATTAGCTTATACAAGTTTAAATTTCAACGAGGCCGTAGCTGCAGTATTTTGTGATCTGACTAAAGCTTTTGACTGTGTCAACCATGGAGTACTGCTGCAAAAGCTTGAAATTTATGGCATAAGAGATGTGGCCTTGAGTTGGATGAAATCCTACCTTTTAGGTCGCAAACAGTTAGTCCGAACTGTTTCAGACTCGAACACAAGTGACATAAAATGGGGTGTCCCTCAAGGTTCTGTTCTTGGGCCCACCCTGTTTTTAATTTATATCAATGATTTAGGTAAGTTAAATATCTCAGGAAGCTTCACTCTATTTGCTGACGATACTACTATCTTGTGGCACAATAAAGACGTCAATATTCTTTATGCAAATATTAGTAATAACCTAAAATCCTTTAAAACATGGTGCACTGCAAATTTTCTATCATTAAATTTTAAAAAAACAAAAATACTAACCTTTAAATGTAATGTTCCTGATATTTTAATAGATATGGATACTGTAGAAGCCACAAACTGTACAAAATTTTTGGGTTTAAATATCGACATGGATTTGAAATTCAAATCTCATGTGGATTCACTTTTAAAAAAACTCGCATCGGGTTGTTATGCCATTAGAATCACCTCTCATGAATTGGGAGTTTGTGCAGCCAAAAACTGCATATTATGCGTTAGTTGACTCCCATCTACGTTATGCTGTTCAGTTTTGGGGAGTCTGTTCTGCCGAGTTATTTGACAGAGTCTTTATAATGCAGAAACGGGCAATAAGGTTAGTTTCATGCAGACCGCTGTTCTTAAAACAAGAAATATTAACATTAACATCTTTATTTATCTTAGAAACTTGTTGCATGATCCATAAGAACAAGTCGAAATATAAATCGAATACATCCCGTGTAACTCGCCAAACGGGTAACTTGAAGTTGCCTATTCCCAAAACTGAACTAATAAGAGACTCTTTTATATACAATGGTATCAAAATGTACAATAGGCTATCACATACGTTGACAGATGTTGAGTCACAGAATTGTTTTAGAAAGCTGCTCAAGAGATTTCTGTTAACTAGGCCTTATTATAATATTATAGAATTTTATAATGACGAGACATTGTTATATGTGTTTTATTTTGTTTTGTTTTATTTTAGATGTATGTATTAATGTTAATTTATAATGTTTGTTTATATTTTAATGACTATTTATTTATTTGTAATTTGTATACTATTTGTACAATATTGTGTTTGTATGACTATTTATTTATTTGTAATTTGTACAATATTGTGTTTGTCAATAAGTATTTTAACTTGGACAATAAACATATATTCTCTCTCTCTCTCTCTTATGATATAAAATTTTGTGAGGTAATTATATTATCCGAGTGTTTTCAATTAGAATCTACCTCACAGTTTAATCTACAGGGTTACAACATACACTAAAATAACAGTAATATTAATAGAAATGATGGTGTCATAGTTTTAGTCAAATTAAATTTAAATGCAGAAATAAACACAATAAAACTCGAACTTTCAGGCATTTGCATTACTAAAATAAACTTAACAGCAAATCACACAACTATTGGCATTAGTGCTTTATATAGATCTCGTCAAACTTCAGCAAATACATTTATTCGAGACAGAAAACTACATCCCCATTCCGGTATACAAAAGGTCCTCATCCTTCTACTAAACTTCTAAAAAAAAAGCATCTTATCTGGTTTATTTTTGTACAACCCAAGAAGTTCCTTTCAAAGATATCAAACAGTAAAAGAGGACATATCGCACCTTTAATCATAAAGTGGCACAACTAAAAAATGCTAGTTTCGTAGAATCTGCCAAAAACTGTTTTATATTTGGAGCTGTCTTAGTATATTTGAACTTTGAGAAAATTTACGAAGTATTATGAATAAATGAAATATGAGAAAAGGTTAAGCAATATTTTAAAGATGTATGTATAATTTAGTTTTTTTTTAGAGAAGAAAGGAAAAATGGTTTAACTGTTAGTAAGAAAAAAAATTCACAATTATGTCACTTTAGTAATAAAAAGATTATGTATCAATACGAAATGTGTCAATTTATTACTAAAAATTGCATAACGATTTTAGTATTATTTTGGAATAGTTCTTTTTTGGATTATATTAATAAAATATTTCAAGTAACAAAGCAAAAATGCCTCTTTAGAAGCAAATTTGCAAAGAATGCTATTTCAAACCCTGTCACTATTGGCACACAACTAACATTATGTCGCTTTAGGTCTAAAACACCTTACAAAATCCTATTTCAACGTAGGTCGGAGTTACCTCAATAGATGGTACTATTTTGGATCGTTTTATTACCAAAACTAAAAATCTCAAAATTTTGATTTATGCCACTTTATGATTAAAGGTGCGATATGTCGTAAAAAAAGACATTTTAAGCTTTAAAAAGTCGCAAGGCCTTTTTTCTTGAAAAAAGGACAGGTGGCAACCCTAACATGAACATGAGGTACTAAAAAATCTATGGGTCATCAACACAAAACCAGAACCTTTAGTAATTTTAATATTAAAATATCTATGCCTAATAGTGGATCTTTAAAGAATTGTATAAATTACTTAGGACCAAAGTGTTACAATGCTTTACCTCTTGAGATTAAATTAATTAACAAACAACATTGATTTAAGGAAGCGTGCAAATCCTTCATCTTCCAAAACTACTCAAAATTATACAGATTCTTCTTAGAATAATACACATCTCACTGTAATATGTTGAAACCCTGTAGATTACAAGATTATAAGATTATTATATTATTAAGTACATATTATATAATTATACTATATTATTACATTTATTAAAAATACATTTTAGTTTTAGTCTTTAGTTCAGTCTTAGTCTGTCTAGCACATACAGGTGCCCACACCTAGGTACTTCACACATTAGTGAAAAAAAGTAACTTTTATATTTCTAATATTGGTGGATTGGATAATATGTACGGTAGTAGAATAAAATATTGTAGGCAACTCGTGTGTAAAGTCTCTTTTTTTGACTCATGTGTCAAAAAAAGTAACTTTTACACACTTGTTGCATAAATAACTATTTTCTACGATCACTATCCAAAGTAGGCTTTAGCGCTTCGAAATACAACCGCAAAATTGACCTTTTCCGCAAACTGACATTAAATGACTGTTGTGTTGCTCGTCGAGGGAAAAACTTGACACATTTGTTGCTTGCCTAATTTAAATTAAATATAATATATTTTCTTTTCATGTTATTTGTAGGTAGTTTGATGTTTTTGTATTTTATTATCCAAGTTAAAATTTATTTTGAATATCAACTCGTTTTTTCGTGATTAACGTAGATACGTTTTTATATCTATATCATAAAATACTTTTATCGTAAAAAAAATATTGTGTGTATATTGAACAAAAAGTTCGATGCCGCTTTCGACAGATTGCCGCGACAAAGAATCACTTTTCGCTCTTAATATACAAATAGCCATTTCCATATGATGCAAAGTTTTCGATTTTCAATGTACAAATGCCACTAAAGAAATGCGTGTATTACCTTTGATAATCCAGTTAAGAAGGTGAAAAAATACCGGTGTTACTTCCGAATATTTCTTTGGAAAAAATGTTCTGTAGCATATGTCGCTGGTGTTAGAAGAATTGGGTTCTTTTGTAGAAATAACTAACGAGTCATAGGTAGTAGAAAAAGAAGTGTTTTTAATTTACTATTTCACTGAAGTAAATACATAGTGGTTGATTCCATTTAGATATAATAATTTTCTTATCTTCACTAAACACTTTTAAATATTTACAATTTTAGTTCATCACAATTTGATTAACTAATACAGTTGATTTTTTGGTTACCAACTTGAAAACATTTGTTTGTAGAATTTCTTATGCCATAATAATTGTAGAAGATATAACTTGCACCAGAAAATAAACTGCATTAAACGCTTGTAAAAATGTAGAAAATGATGGCAAAAGGACAACTGAATCGTTGGTGGCAATAAGACAACTGAATTGGTGGCAATAAGACAACTGAATTGGTGGCAATAAGACAACTGAAATGAATGCCGTTCGCGTCGAGCTCACCCTAATATATACTGTTGGGCCGAAATGAGTGTCCGGGGCATAGTTGACGCACCTATTCGGTTTCAACCAATGAAAACATCATGACATAATGAAATACGTCATTTGTGCTTCGTTAACTATGCGCCGGACACTCATTTTGTTCCAATGCACCGCTGTGCACCTGAAAACACAGGTAGTCGAACTATTTGAGAATTGTTTATTTATTTAGTGGATGTAAAATATTAATTTGTTGATGTTTTTACTGGTGAAATTGTAGAATTTAACCAGAAGGATAAACAAAGGGATACTGAATTTCCTATGATATCAAAAAAAATGAATGATACACATTTAAAAAAATAAAATAAAATCTGACTTACCTGAGTGGACAAGCTCTCAATTTCTGACACCATCTCATCGTTCTTATCCTTCAACTGAGCATTCTCCATTTGCAACGTCGCCAATTTGGTCATCAACATTTTAGTTTCCTCCAGTTCGATTTCGCAGGTCTTTTGTTTTTCATTTTCCAAACTATCTATCTGGCCGCTCAAAAAGTTTTTGTCTCGCTCTAATTCCGCAATTTTAAGTGAGAGATTCTGGTTCTCCTTTTCGACGTTCAGAGAGTATTTCTGCGCGACCAAAAGATCGTTCTTAAGTTTATTGACTTCCTGTTCTAGCGACGTTATTTTTTCTTCGAGGATTTGATTCATGCTGGTAAGTTGGTCTTTGTCTTTGGTAAATTGGCCGGTTATCTCTTTTAGAATATCTGAGTGTCTCTGTTCTAGAAGTTTGACTTGGTTCAGGGTGTTTTGCTCCATTCTGGAATGGTTGTCATCGACTTCTTGTGCCAGAAGGGTCGCTCTGTTGTTGGCATCGGTTACGTGGCATTTTAGTTTTTCACGCTCAGCGTGCATTTGCTCCAGAAGATTTTTGAAAGTTTTTATCTCGGATTGATAGAGGGTCAAACTGGCCTGTAAAAAAATACAAAAGCATAATCTCTACATATGTATAGGATTGAGTAATACTGTCAAAAGTCCGCCCCCTGCCATATAGCACAAGTAGAAGTAGGAAAGGCTTTTGGTAGGTAGAGAGGAGGTAAACGTCAAACCACGTCGGACGGCTTCGAGAATTTCGCAGTAATGTTTACCTGCCAGTATCGTTTCATAAAATAAGTAATTTTAAATTGTTACCGGCGGAACCGGACAATCCCATGTATTTATGTACTATAAATAATTATTTAACATGAATTATAATACTCAAATCATAATTTTAAAAAATTTCAAGAGCTATTCATAATTTATTAAACTAATTACTCGAAATTGTTATTAACATCTATAAAATAATTTTGTACGCCAATGTATCGCGTCCATTTCGGTTAAATCCGCCGCAAACCTGTCAATTTCTGTGTATAAAGTAGGAGAACTGGCAAAAGCCTTTCCAACTTCTACTTGTGCTATAACCGTTAAAGTGTGTTTGGAAGGTATGTTTATATAAAAGATACACCCAAAAGGATTTTTTAAAATTTCGTCTCCAACGGGTGAAAAACGGGTTGAATATTTTTAATAACAAACGGCGAAATCTCAAAATCAACCCACAGCCTAAACCGCTAAACTTAGAAGTGAGAAGAGTAAAATTATATAGGAAGGCTTTTGGAAAACTCCATCTTCAAGAGACATTTTTTTTTCAATTTTCAAAAAATCGTTAAGAGTGATAAAAATGGAAGATTATTTAAATGAAATGAAAATTTCAGCGACTCAATTTCCCCAAAAAAAATATTAGTTTAAAAAATTTCTTATCATCTAAAATTCAAGAAATATTAACCATTCGTTTTTTATTTAACGCTTAGGTGCTTGTAAATTTTTGATTTGTATGTTTTCACATCTGAAATATGAAACTAAATTTAAGTTTAGTTATGTTTACTAATTGCAAATAAATCCACTATACCAATAAAAAAGTTCATACTGATAATCTGGCCAATCAAAAATATTAAAATGTTTTCACTTTAATAATAAGTATAACCGTTAAAGTTTGAAATAGTTTGTTAATTTTTTTGGCGGTGATTTTAGCGTACATAATAAAAATAGATGTGGAAATAGTAGTTTGTGCAACAAGAGTGCATATGATGGCCATATTTTGTGTTGTAAATGGAAATATATGGAAATAGATGTGGAAATAGTAGTTTGTGCAACAAGAGTGGATATGATGGCCATATTTTGTGTTGTAAATGGAAATATTTCCGAATGTATCTAATATATTGAAAATATTTTAAAAAGTATTTAAATACTGTCATAAACGATTTAAATCCGATGTTTATTAACATACCTTTTACATTTTTTATTTATTTATTTATTTATTTACGGGTCAGAGCCCATTAAAACAATACAATTACAGATAATACATATTACATACATTAAATAGTAATAAAATCCTAAATAATAATAATAAATTAATTTAAATACATAAATATTAAAAACAATTAAAAATTACTCCTCACATATACATAAATGGATAGAAAAATCTGATGGAGAAGTAATCCATTCTACATTTAGTCTGTTAGCAGATCTTGTTGCTCTAGGAATAAAAGAATGAGAACCATAATTTGTTCTATGAAAAGGTTGAGAGAATGTATTAATATTCCTAGTTACTCTAGAGGGTACAGAAAATCCAATTTGGGATAACAAGTATGGACAATCGGCAGATGAGTTAATAATGTTAAACAATATTTTAAGATCCCTTTGGTTTCTTCTGCTCAGAAGGGTCTCAAGATGACAAAGTGTGTAATTCGTCATAATTGTATCTGAAGTTGACCGGGACAATACACGATTTAAATGCAACAATGCGTAAAAATTTTCTTTGAACCTGTTCTATATTATGGATTAGATATACATAAAAAGGATTCCATACAGAAGAAGCATATTCAATATAAGGTCTAACTAAGGCACAATAAAGAATCTTTAAACACATCACATTATGAAAATCAGAAGTAGTTCTTCTAAGGAAACCCAACATTCTTAATGCTTTATTAACTGAGGCTGTTATATGAGTTTGAAAAGAAAGGGTGGAGTCTAATATCACACCCAAATCTTTTACTTCTGTAATAGTATTCAGTGTTATGTCATTGATTTTATAGATATATTCAATAGGACTATGTTTTCTGTTGAAATTGATTGCATGACATTTACTTGTATTTAATTCCATTCCATTAGTACTACACCATTGGACAAAGTTATCCAAGTCTTTTTGAAGGCAAATACAATCACGTAAGGAATTTACACGCATGAATAATTTTAAATCATCAGCAAAGCAAAGGAACTGAGAATTCTTAAAACAATTTTGGATGTCATTGTTATATATATTAAAAAGTAGAGGTCCCAAATGTGAACCTTGAGGGACACCAGATGTAGCGGTAAAGCCAGAGGATAAGAAACCAGAAACACGAACAATTTGAATGCGGTTTGTTATAAAGCATTCGATCCATTTCAGAAGATTACCACCAATGCCAATGTTACTAAGCTTTCCAATCAAGCAATTGTGGTTAACTCTGTCGAATGCCTTTGAAAAATCAGTGTATATAGCATGAACTTGATCATTAGAATCCAAGGCATTCGATAAGTAATCAACATAAGACAACAAGTTAAGTTCAGTGGACTTTTTGGAGCGGAAACCAAACTGCTGATCTATGATGAAAGGATCAAGCAGTTTCGATAAATACTTTGTAATAATACTATCAAAGAGTTTAGGAATCACACTTTGAATGCATATTGGCCTGTAATTAGTTACATTTGATTTGTCGCTTGATTTGTAAATCGGTACAGTAAAACTTGATTTCCAGTAATTAGGAAACATTCCATTATGAAGTGAAACATTAAAGATAATATGCAGTGGACGGGATATAACATAACAACAAGTTTTCAATCAGGAAGGTGGCAAGCCATCAGGACCTGATCCCTTACTCATATCTAAACAGCTCAGATGTTCAAATATTTCTGAAATAGATATTTGATAATTTGCAACATTTAAATGGGTTGAATATGGTTTATCATAATTATGGCATGGTTGATTGCTATAGACTGAGCTAAAGTAATCCTGAAACATATTAGCTAAATCTGTACCCATAGAGCATCTAGTGTTGTTATAGTACATTTCGTTGGGTAACTCATAACTTTTTCTTTTTGAATTAACAAAATTCCAAAATGTTTTAATATCATTACCAACAGATGATTCAGTAAGTTTAATGTAATCATTGTAATTCTGTTTAGACTTAAGTTTACATTGAGAGCGCAAGTTAGAGAATACCATGTAGTCGTTAGAAGATCCACTAAATTTAAATCTAAGGTGTGCCTCCTTCTTTAGAATTATGAGATTTTTCAATTCAGGTGAAAACCATCTGGGAAATCGTCGAATGGATAATTTTTTCAATGGTACAAAGGAATGAATGACAGAATACACAAAATCGTAAAAAAATATTTACCATTTCATCAAGTGATTTATTTAAGAATAGTGAATCCCACTGAATTAATCCCAGATGATGTTCAATGGATCGAAAATCTGCGAATTTGTAATCATAGTAATACTCATTAGGTACATGTGACGAGTTACAATAATTTACAGCAAGGTTCAAGTGTATAAGTAATGGGGGATGATATTTATCGACATTAATTAGAGCATCACTAGCGAGAGAGGTGGTTGTTGAAGATTGATAAGAAAAAACTAAATCTAAAGTAGTATTGTAATCATTCCGAACTGCATTGTTCTGAAAGAAGTTGTGAAAAGCACACATATTGGAGATAGTATTAATCGCAGCAGTTTCATCAGCTCTAGTTCCAGGTCCCAAGGAAGAGGTAGCAGTTGAGCATAGATTATTTGACATCCATATGGCCTTAGGTAAATTGAAGTCGCCCAAAAATGCAAAATTGTGTATGAGGATACATCTCTGACAAATTATCCAAGTTTTCAGTGAACGAAACATATTTATCATTTGGTGACATTGGAGGAAAGTAAGCAGCTCCTAAAATAAGAGTACTTTTACCATTGCCTATGAGGACAAATAACTGTTCAATTTCTTGTGTAGAGTTGAGCAAACTACTTCGTATAGATTTGGAAACTGCTATAAGAACTCCACCTCCTCTGGAGGATGAGCTGGTTTGTGCAGATCTGTCCTTGCGGTAAATGTTGAAATTTTCAAATCCAAGTTCGGCATCACTAAAGTTTTCTGTCAGCCAAGTTTCGGTGAAAACAATGATTTCGTGGGATACAGTTGCTACATCAGAAATAAGTTTACTTAGCTTTGTTCTTAATCCTCTAACGTTTTGGTAGTAAATGGAGCTAGGAGAGAACTTAATAGAAGGTGGGCTCTGATTGGTTAGTTTTTTGGATTCAAACTAATTATTTTTGGACATCCATTTATAAATTTGATTATAAGATTATTTTCTCCTTTTTCACGTCGTTTGTATAGTTCTTCTTTGACAAGTTTTTCTGATTCCATTTGTTTACGTGTCAGATCAAAATTGAGAAAGATATGCTTTCCTTTAAGTTTATACCGATTTTTAATAACATGCACATCATAAGTAGAATTAAAAGTTATTTTAAGAGCCCTTGCCCCTTTAGAATTATGTTTTCCTAATCGCTGTAGTCTTATAATTGATGGAGGTGAGTTAATTAAATCCTGTAAAATTTCGATTACCTTGGATTTGTCACTACTTTCTGGTAGGTTAAACACCATCAGATTGTTGGATTTTCTCCTTCGTTCTTCCAGTTCAGTAAGCATTAATTCATATAAGCATTAAACTTACTATAGAGAACCATTTAAGCGACTGATATACCTATAAGGTTGAAACTTCAATCAATAAAAGTAAAATTCTAGGTCTAAAGAGCGACGGCTGGACCAACATACGAAACCAAGGAGTCATAAATTGTATAATCGCTGGAAGCAGTGGCGTGCGGTGACATTTTTGGAAGGGGAAGCGATTGT